AAAAAGTTTGTCTAGCACTTGCAATTTTCAACAATGGTTAAGATTAACATTCGAAATTAGTCTTCAATTTCTTTTGTGATTGCTCGTAAATTAAGATAACGATTTTATTTCGGATATGAATTTCGAAAAATGCGAGTTGTTAAGTGGCTTGAAAAACAATCCAAAAGTGGGTGGGAGACAAAGAGAAGCTTAAAGGAGTCACCCATGCTAAGGAAGGCCAGGCAGTTTCTCTCTTCTGTCCTCTCTATTGTCCCACGCTTTCCTTAATTCAAAACTACTCTTGCTTACGAGCACGAGTCGATTTGATTAAGTCAATTGCAAAAAATAATTTCTCTTTCCTCTCTTCACTAAAGAACAATAGTCCACGAAGGGTTGGATTTAGGCCTAATGAGAGAATGAATTTTTTCAGCAGATAGTCAGATTTTTCGTAAATATAGTAATAACGAGAGTTAATATCACGAAAAGTCTCGGATTGATACATTTGTGATAAATTTATCACAAATTAATTTTTTGACCATAAAAAAATCAAACTTGCATACTTTTGACAAATTTGCCTTAACTTAATTTTTTGATCATCAAAAACTCAATATTGGTACATTTGTGACAAATTTACCCTCTCCTAGTTTTTCGTTAAATTGGATTAATATTACGAAAAATCACAAACATATATATTTGTGATATACAGAGGGTAAAACCTCAAATTAATACATCTGTCAACTGTCACGTGTCATCCAACTTAGCAATTTGACGATAAAATTTAAAAGAAATTAACGGAGGGTAAATTTGTCACAAGCGTACTGATTTTGGGTTTTTAGTGGTCAAAAAATAAGTTTGTGGTAAATTTATCACATGTGTATCAATTTGAGGTTTTCTCGTGATATTAATCCTACTAATAATGATGGTGATTTATCATTACACGAGTAAATTATTCGGTGTCCGTGCACGGTTTGCTACGAAGTGTGACGAGGAATTATTGCCCTTTTTCTTTGACTACCTTTTTTACAACCGCAGGAATATAATGATTATATTATAATCATAAAAATATATAGAGAATTATATTATATGCATATTTAATCCTCATAAGAACAGATTGGAGAGGCATATGCTTGTGTTTTGAACTCGGCTCCTTTCTTTTCTTTTGTTTAAATCACGTGACACATAGATCCAACTGTCATGTCACTCACAATCACGATTCATCATATCTGAAGAAAATTGTAATATTATGGATTGTCGATAACCGAAGGACGGTCGAATCTAGTCCTTTCTACCACACCCTCTTTTAGTTTTCTTTATATTATTTTTATTATATTGTTCTTGCTGCTCCTTCTTTGCAAGGAATCAGATAAATGTGGCCTCGCTTGCGCTGGTAACTTCGACGGAGCACAAATTAAGGATTCTTTTTCCATCGACCACTTTTCTATTTGGTTCCAACCACGCACAAACTATATAAGATGTAATTAAATCATGTGAAGAGATCTAGTCCGTCCCTTATGGGTCAAAGCATATCAATTTGTGTAGGTTTCGAGTTAAGTCGTATAGAGCTTGCATTTTCCTTTTCATGATTCCATATCGTATTTGAGTCATCTTCTCAAGGAGTGTTAAGAATCGCCGTCTTTACTTGGGATGAGTTTACCAGGTTGGAAAGAAAATATTATGTGAATCCCCCTTGAATATCTTGAAAAGATTGACTTGCTTTTAACAGGACTAGAAATGTGAATGTAATCTGATACAAGAAAGCTTGATTTTTTTTTTCTGGACAGGTATACACGAAAGCTTGATGACAACTCTGAAAAAGGAAAATAGCAAGGAGAATCCTATTCTGGAACCAACCAAATTATGTAGATTGATGTCTTCTAAGTTAACTTTTGGATACACCTATATATATTTATTATATATTCAAAGTGCACCCTGTAAAGTCACATAATTGATCAAATAATCATGTGTACACTATTGAATTGATTGAACAATGTCGACTTGAAAATGGGTGTTAGAGCAATTTTTGAAAGGGATAACAACACAAATGGTCTATGAATTTTGGTTAAATGAGTAACGTCGTCCTTAAACTTTTGATTTGTGCAATGTGATTCTTAAATTTCTGTCCAATGTGCAATATTGTCCCAGACCTTTAATTAGTTTAATGTGGTCCATGGACTATTCACAAATGTTCAATATAGTCTCCAAATTATATGAAAATATTTAAAAGTTCAAGAACCGCATTAAACATTAGAGCAAAATTGAGGAATCACATTGAACAAAATAAAAGTCTAGGGACGATATTGAACATTGGACCAAAGTTTAGGTCCCACGTTTTATTTTTGTTAGTTCAAGTTTCATGTTGAGCAAATTAAAAGTTTAAGAACGGTATTACACATTGAATCAAAGTTCAGGGATTATTTTTGTTCTTTTTACTATCTGAAATACAACAATTGTCTTCCGCAATTTTGTAAAAACAACAGTGACATTCGAGTAATTCATCTTTTGGCAAAAAAAAAAAAGAGTAATCTTCCTTTATTTTTGCCTTTGGAGTTTGCTGAAGAGAGAGAGAGAGAGAGAGAGAGAGAGAGAGAGAGAGAGAGAGAGAGAGAGAGTTGTTCAGGACAGCAAAAGGGGCAAGAGATGGACATGAAGATCGAAACTTTGGCCGGCCGAAAAAGAAGTGATATTGTCTATAGAAGATTTAGCGTGTATGATGGATAAATTAATTTAAACCTCATTTGGCTTTTGGTCTAATCCATGAAGCCCTTTTGAGAGAGACAGGGAGAGAACATGACGCCAACTTTAACAGACATGCAATCAACCAAAATTTTTAGCCCGATGCGTGCAATCCCACCACTCCTTAATTTCCATGACCAATGGTCATGATCACACTGAACATGCCCTCCTTATCATAAACTAAACATGTATATAAATATAGATGTATATATATACACTTTTTTTTGTTCTGAATTTTGTTTGATTTCTCGCTCTTTTTGTTATCAAAACCTACGACCTCAGTGTTGTAAACCAATTTTTTTGGGTGCATTTTGCTCATGTTTCCAAGGACCACCTTTCTTTTTTACCCCAAAGTAAGTGTTTGTTCCCAAGGATCACTTGGTCATGTAATGATAGTATTCATATATCGAATACGACATTCTCTTTTGACACGACACAATATCACATTCTGTGTTTTCTAGTGATTCCTGGAGAATGGACGATGAAGCAGTTGCACTTCTCCAGAGAAAAAAAAAAGGTTTGAAAATGGTGCAAGGGGGAGAGATTGATGTAGAAAGAAGAGAACACTTTTACTAATGTTGCTCTGTTGAATTCCACTTTCTAATTACTCCCATTTTTAGGTCATCGTGTAGTCTAGAGATCAAAAAGAGAAAAAGTAAAAGGCAAATGGGAATCTTCCTGTGAATAATGTCGTTTCTTTATAAGGTCATCTCCTTCATCAATGTGGAAATACTTCCCTAACATAACTTCAATAATGTCGTTTCTTTACAGTTGTGATAGGAATGAGATTCAAGTGTCAGTACTCCTCGTCAAGAAAGAGGAATGGATCATCAACCGGAGAGAGACAGGTTAGGGAGGCTTGTCTTTCAAGGAAAAAGATCAAGGAGAGAGCAGATGGAAAAAGAAGATTAGGTTTAAAATCAATTTTGTAGCAAAGGGGAATGGGAAAAGAAAAGGCTGTTCCCCAAATGTTGCTTCATTGGGGCATCTTTCTCTTGCTCCAATGCCTTTGTCAAGGCAATTCTCACTTTGTGTACAGTTCAAGCATCCTCCAAGCGCTCTCTCTCTCTCTCTCTCTCTCTCTCTCTCTCTCTAGATGTGGGCATGTCAAATTGAAGGTTCGCCTTTGTATGAGGAGCCCCATTAGAGACCTCCTTTTGTATGAGGAGCCACATTAGTGACCAACTTTTGCCAACAGCATATCTAAAATCACTTTGCTCCAGAACTCCAGCTATGCCTACAGAATTTTGTGAACCCAACGAAGCCCACTAGGTTGATCTTTTCTCTCTTTGCTTTATTCTCTGCTTTGAGTTGTCTCTGCCTGTTCTTGCTTCTCTTTAATCTGCAACTTCGAAAAAAGGAAAAAAAAAGAGAGAAAAAGAAGCAGTCTTTCTCACTTTCATATCGCATCTGGATCTCTAGCTTGTTAAACTATTTAATTCATGATTTTGTTATTGCTGCTGCTTTCCAATACTTTTTTTTCTAGGTACAGAGGTACGGGGGGTAAGAAAAAGAGAGGAGGACATTTGAGCACCCCCCAAGAAGCATGTCTCCAGTGACAAGTTCCTAGAGAGGGGCATGATCCTATCTTAGTGCTTGGAAGGGCTTTTTCACTCTCTTTGAATACTCGTTCAGGAAAAGTTGCATCGTCTAGAAAGCAACACTAAGCCCTTGTGCTTAACCACGGTCTTTCCAAGCTCCTCATTGAAATGGATGCTATGGTGGCCGTTCTGGTAATGGAAAATAATTTGGTGAGTCGTATTCAGTTTAAGGATAACCAGGAAGCAAATTGCTGCGTGGACCGTTTTGCAACCAGCTTTTGTTCTGGATAACGTTAGGAAGGAATTTGTCTTCCACATTGGTGGAGGTAACACTTCTATCTATCAACTTCTCTTTAAGCAACCTGTGTTGCCCATGTTTCACCATCCTCTTTGTGGAGCCAACTACAAATGGCCCAAATTCTGTCTCACTATGGTTGATTTCTGGTGATGTATGTTCCGTCGGGTTTACTAAAAATAAATAAGTAAATAAATGAACAGATTTCATCGATAATCAGAACTGAAAAACATGAGACCTTTCACTTGTCTAAGAAACTTAAGATGTGACTTAAAGGTGCTATGAAGGCTAGAACACTCTCAGCTGCACAACAAAATGCAAAAATGATTCTATTTATTTGCCTCATTCTTGTCCTTTAAATTCACGTGATCCATTTCACTGATCAGAGCAGTAAATTGACCAGTTAGGGACTATTTGCCGAAGGAATACAATCTCAGAAGCATACCCTCAGCTATCATAAACGTGTATATAATTTATTGCAAGCAACTCACAAAGAATCCATACAAATTGTCTAATCCAATGAAGCATATCACACAAATCACTCGCCACAAATAAACACCAACCAATCCAACGAATAGTAATAACATCTATAATCTCTCTCTCTTTCTCTCTCAAATTGAGAAAACCCAAAACCAGTGGTTACTACCTATGTGACACAAACCTAAAAGAAGGGAAAAGAACAGACTCTCACTTCCATCAAACAAATGTGAATTGGTCATTACCCTCTATTTACATTGCCAGTAATATGCAGGGTAAGACCTCGATGCAACTACGAAATAATATAACAGCAGAGAAAAGCTGACCAAACAATGTTGCAAGTTTTCTTTTGTCCTTTGATTGCTCTCACTTGACTTTCTCTTCGCCCTTGGCCTCTGTCGTCAGTGTCTTGGAGCTTAGGGATTTCCCGACGATGGCTTTCTTTACCTTCACACCTAATTGCTTCACCTTTGACATTATGTTACCCGACTGCTTTTTCACTGAGATCTCTTGTGCAGGCAGGTCCCTTGATGCTTTGGTGTCGTCGCCATCCTTTGCAGTCTCGTCAGTTTGAGGAGGCGCAAGTTTTGCATCAATGTCACCTTTTGCAACGCCATTCTCGGCCTCCTCCTCTGCCTTGACCTCTTTGGCTTCCTGTGCTTCGACTGGAGCCAGTGTCTCTTCCTTCTCCAACTCAGCAGTGCCTGTCAAATTTTGCTCGGTTACGGCACTTGCATTTTCCATTTTAGTCACCTCATCTTTTCTGGTTTCTTTGTCTTTCTCATCAAGTTTCTCTATCTTTTCTTCTTCCTTTTCCGCGTCAACTTTCGCTTCCTCCTCCACAACGCCATCCACTACAGATGCCATTTGTTGACCGTTTGCATCCATGGGAACTTCCTTCTCAACAACAGCTGGAGCTTCCTCAGCAACAGTAGAATTGGTTTCTGTAACAGCGGGTGCCTCTTCAATCTTTTCTTCCTTGGAGGACGTGACGCCATCGAACTCATCCATCACCGACCTGAGATCTCTTGCTACCTTAACCTCTGTCTTCTCCATGGGCTTGACTTCCTCGACGCTCTCCAGCACATTCTCCACAACATTGGCGACTTCTTGGGGTTTATTCTCTGCTTCTTTAGTCAATTCTGGCTTATCCTCTACCTTGGTTTCTGCTTCTGCTGCTTCAGTCAGCTCGGCCACGTTGCTGGCTGCTGCTTCAGTCGGCTCGATGGTTTCAGCGGCTGCTATTTTCGGCTCATCAACCGCCTTCTCTTTGACTGGTTCAACAACCGATTCTTCTTCTGTTTCGCATACAACAGCTTCAATTGCTCCTTTTTCCGGTTCTTTGGCATCAGCTTCCTCCACGACTTTCTCCTCAGGTTCTTTTCCGACTACTTCACTTGCAGGCTTCTCCTTTACTTCATCTTCAACCACTTCAGCTGTCAATTTCTCCTCTACCTTACTTTCAACTTGTTCGCTAGCCACTTTTTCCTCGGATTTACTCTCAACTGCATCCACCACAACTGCTTTGTCCTCTACCTTTTCTTTGATTTCTTCAGTCGCAGGTTCCTCCTTCGATTCAACTATAACTTCTTCAACCGCTGCTTCTTTTTCTTCTAGTTTAACTGCCTGAGGCTCAACTTCTATAACTGCTTCAACTTCTTTCTCCTTTGGTTCAGCTGCAACGAACGCTTCGACTTCTTTCTCCTTTAGTTCAGGCGCAACAACGGCCTCCACTTCTTTCTCCTTTAGTTCAGGTGCAACAGCCGCCTCGACTTCTTTCTCCTTTGGTTCAGGTGCAACAACCGCCTCGACTTCTTTCTCCTTCGGTTCATCTGCAACAACGGCCGCGACTTCTTTCTCCTTTGGTTCGGGTGCAACAACTGCCTCGACTTCTTTTTCCTTCGGTTCAGGTGCAACAACGGCCTCGACTTCTTTCTCCTTCGGTTCATCTGCAACAACCGCCTCGACTTCTTTCTCCTTGGGTTCATCTGCAACAACCACCTCGACTGCTTTCTCCTTCAGTTCATCTGCAACAACCGCCTCAACTGCTTTCTCCTTCGGTTCATCTGCAACAACCGCCTCAACTTCTTTCTCCTTTTGTTCGTCTCCAACAACTTCAATAGGTGTCTCAGCCTGAGACACATCGGTTACAGTTGTATCATCTGGTTGGCTACCAACAGGCTCGGTTGCCAAATCTGGAGGGTTCGGCGCTTCAGAAATTTCTTCCGCCTTTGAGCCAGCCTCAGGACGTGCCTTGGAAACAGCTCCACCTTCAACTGCTACAGAAGGTTTGATCTGCTCCTCGGGGGTCGGTTCTTCTGCTTTAGGGACTCGGATGTCTGGACTCTCGGGTTCAATGTCTTTGGTGATCTGTTCCTTTGTTTCCTCCTCTTTGATTATCTTGTTCTCTTCATTTTCCTTCTTCTCAACCGTCTTAGAACAATCAACAACATATCAGGAGTGCTTTATATGATATCGAACATCAAAAGAATCCATCAGAAAAGAACTTAAAAAGTGAGAAATCCCAGTGTAGGGAACAGATTTATTCTTTCTGTGCAACATAATCTGTCATCATCTGAATTCTTATCAGCAGAATTTGACGGATTTCAGTCTAAGCTACTGATATATGTATATCAACGAAGCCCTAAACTATGTGTGGTTAAGCACCAAAAAAGGACAACTGATCATTCCATATCAAGTGAGGTAACATAACAGGATGCCCGAAATTTATGAACTATATCACCGACAAAGCCATTAACAGGAAAGACATAAAGATAAAATGATGTGTTGGATTGATATCAGTACAATTACACAACATCTAGTGCGGAGAACCCTGTAAGACGTTATGGGTTTAGAGCTTGGCAAGCCGAAACAGAGATACTGAAGTTTTTATAAGCTTACTACTCCTAGAAAATGAAATTAAGCACGGATTATATACAATATAGATAATTCAATATCTACTAGTGCTAGAAAATGGTAGCAAGAGGCAGACTTTATCTTCCTCTGGAAACTCTGAAATTCACTTTATCCAAGTTGTAGTTTGTCTAAATACACAGGAAAATTCAGAGACTTGAAAAAAAAAAAACAGAAACAAATAAACTTCTTTCACTGTTGAGTCTGCACAACACAATTTTTCCAGACTTCAGGAAAAAAAAAACCTTTAAATGGTATTTCAAAAGATAAAAAGTTTACTAGATAGTGAGAGGAAAAAAGATCAGGATGAGAGAATTCAACATAGATCATAGTCTGTCTAAATCCTCCCTAGAGCTTTGTTATACTAAACATGCTTCAAAACTTAGAGATCCTCAGTTTGAACCATGAAAAAGGCACATGCAATCAGAACATACAACAGATGGACTAAAACACCCATCTACTTCCCTGAATAACAAGCATAAGACTTCGCTCTTAAGCGTTTGATTATCGTTATGAACCTTCCAGGACATGAATCAAATCGAACTTCTACCCTTGAGGGAAAAGAAAAGATTAAGGCAGTTCATATAACCCAAGCTTCAAAACAAACAGAGCAAAGAAATAGAGGAACAGAGGTTTCTGTGGAGACTTACTTCATCAGGAGTGTGATGATCAGATACAACAGTCTCAGAAGCCATGGATGGATGAAATGAGTGCTCCAAGAAGAAGAACAAAAATGAAAATTTCTTTCTCTTCTCTTCTTCTGGGGGTGGCTTTTGGATTCAAAAGAGAACGGAAGAGTGCCAAAAGGAAATGATTGATGCTGAAAAGTAAAGAAGGAAAGCCAGAGAGCCCCACTCAAACTTGGAATTGGCAATTCAAAAAAAAGAAAAGTAAAAAGGAAAAAAATGAAAAGACAGGGTGGTCTGAGTGAGCTGGATAATTATGGAGGCAGTGAGTGTTTGTATGGCTGCATCTGTATGTATTTGGGATTATTATCGCAAGAAGACAACTCACTTGATCCCCATTTAGAAAAATATCTTCTCTTTTTCCTAAAATGCTGTCTCTGCATTTAGCTATCCAATTTATACTTGGGATTTTATACCCATTTTGTCAGAACCCATAAATACAACGGAAATGATTCCATAGATTTAACTAATTTTGCTTGTATCAAATTTGACCGTGCAACGTTCGGATGATCTTGATCTATCATTTATTGTGCAGATGAAGGTTATGGTATAAAAACTCATCTACGGACGGGACTTACGTGTAGCCGTGTAAAAGAGCGCATGAATCCTAAACCGTTTCGCATCATGATTTGTTTTATACATGGAACAAATTTTTCGACTAAAGTATCAAGTTGTCAAGCCAAATTCCCATATTTTGTTAGCCTTTCTTGTGGGGATGAGCATGATTTCAATTCTTGATTCCTAGAATTGCACGATGGTTCTGCCAAGTTCATCAATTTCAGCAGGAACAGGCTGCTCTGTTTCTTTCCTCCCCTGTCCACTTTTGGGTTTAGGTTGTACCATTTGGGTGGTGGACCCACGAAATTTCCTAGGATACCGCGAGGCGCAAAAGAATGATATTTTTGCTCACGCCTTATCTTCTTTGTTCTTGCTAGTTAAAAAAAGAGAAGTGTGTATTGCTTAAGCACCCAAAGAATGTACTTATCTTCTCTCTCTCTCTCTTTCGCTTTCTTTTTTAACTTTTGGGATTGAAGAAAACCACTAAATAAAATATGGCAAAAGCAGATTCCACAACTGCATAGAAAAATCATACCTTAGTGCCTCCCTTTATGAGAAAAGATTAGGATTGATTACATGTGAGAAATGGCATGATGAGTTTGTTCTTGGACTTTACAGCAAACTGCCCAGCTAATTATGCACCAAGTTCAGGACACTAATGGTGAGATTCCCTTTATGCATTAGACAGACAATACTGACAAAAATGGGGTGACATGAATTACGACCCAAGTTGATGAAAACAATTAAGATCTTAATCCTAATTTTAAAAGGGCTCATTATGGAAATCTAATTTAAAAATCACAAATTCAAGAACTAGATCTGGGGCATCCATCAGGCGGTGATGGAGGAAAAAAGGGTAATTAGTTAATTGATCAGTTCATATCTGACGACCAGTACAACTTGGACTGCCACTGTGATGATGACTGCTAACTAATGTTCATCAAATAAGATTAGGAATATATTCAACATCATCTTCCTGCAGACCCCAAAAACAGAATGTTAATAACAGCACAGCAAAAGTATTGATTGGAGGGACTTTCTGTACTGTTATCGTTAGCTGAATTTTCAAAATGTCAGAAAAAAAATGATTTGTTTAGCATGATCCTAGCTAAACGACTGTTCCTCTTTTGTCCCACCAATCCTTTGTGTTCTGGGAATCAGATAGTATTAAATGCGTATACTCCCTCATTGGGAGCCTTCAACGACTGAGAGGATTTGTCAATGGAGTTCACAGGAACTGATGCTGATATGTTGGAAAGAGAGGGAACCCACGTTGGGGCTGACCCAGATGCATGTGAATATCCAGAACATTTAAACAGACTTTTAAAATTGAAAAAAAAAATTGCAAAAATTGAAGGAAGGAGAAAAAGAAGAAAACTACTTTCTGTCATCGCTATCCCTCTTGATATGACTAGTATTGCTTAATTTGAAAACAACACATGACCCTCTAGAGTTTCTAGTGATTTTCACAAGTGATCTCATTAAGTAATTGACATATATTCAATTCAAGTATCGATTTTATTTTTTCGCTTTGAAAACAAAATAGAATCAACGTAATCTTGAGATGATCCACGTGATTACTTACCATGATGATCCACGTGATCCTCCTATGGACTATTAATGCGTCACGGCGGTTTTTCCATACACCAAACATTCGCTTTCGAGGTCTATTATCTGGTCAATTTAGGGAGGGGTTTATTGAAAACGAAGCTACTAGTAAATAGTCATAATCACGGTGCCGCACTGATCAAATCAAAGCAAGAGGGATGAATATCATGAAGTGATTTCTGGTCCAATGATAATATAGGATATAAATCAAGCGGGAAATGTCACAAATCAAGCCAGTTCATGGGTGTCCGTGACACAGACATTTCGTTCCAAGACTAACTTTGCAAACTCACTAACATTGCAGAGCCACATCTTTGGGATCAATATCTCATAGAGGGTCCAAACACAGAAGCCTTTTGCAGCTCTTTCTCAAGGCTAAGAGGCTAACCACGTTGTCCACTTCTTCACAATAGGCAAAGCCAGTTTATAAGTTTGAAAAGTATGTATGATGTGCTGCTCTCTCAGCTCATCTTGATCTGATGTCACACTGCTTCACTTGAATCCAAGGATGGCAAGAGCTAGACATTCGAGTAGGCTTCAAGCCCACTGCTTTACGCCGTGCTGGGCCGGGCCGGTTGGCCACTCCCATCCCCTAAAGAAAAGAACTCTGTTTGGCTTGTCTCTGGAGATAGAGTGAGATCATGTCGCACCGTGTTTGTTTTTTATGAAGTCAAAGTTTCACATTTAGGTAAAGTATGTAGATCAAATATAAAAGATAAGCGAACCTATAGAACAAACAGACACCTAAAGGGTAAGAATGACTACCTGACTCTTGTCAGGTTAGAACCCAGATATTGTTAGGAGGGCTGAGAATGACCTATATGCAAACTCTAGATTTTCTCAACACAGAATGAAAATCCTAACTCTAAATTTTCCCGACCCCCCTCCTCCACCTAGTCCCTTCCGCCTCCACCGCTGCCCCACGACCACGGCCGCCATGTCCCTTCCACCCTAAAAGAACTTACCGAAAATTTGTCTATATTGAAATCACTTATTAATAGCAAATATAGAAGAGAGCTACGTAGAGAACCTTAGGTTGCTCTGTTACTTTTCCCCCTTTTTTAAATTGTTCGATTCTCAATTAAGTCTACAAACTTCGGGTACAAAAGAAACAAGAAATGCTCTAAAATCGAACAAGAATCGGTAATTTGGTTGTTGAAATGCTCCGAGCACGCTGGGACTTCGATTATTTATGGGCATCACCATCCAACAAAAGCCCTCATTGAAGAATTGAAAGACATTCCTCTCGGGGAGAAAGAGATCTGCTTGTGCAAAATGGATTGTCATGCTTGGATATGTGAAATTATCTCGAGGAGTGTTGTAGCACAAGTCCATTGTTCTTGATCAAGGAGGTGCAGGATGCCAAGTATATTTATCGAGGAATATTTCCTCTTTCACGATGTCATAAGTAGCGTGAATAAGAGGAGTAAGAGGACTTCCTGAGTCGAATATAAACCCACCAGTGTGGTCCGATCTCATTCGAAAAACTGAGGGATCTATTTATAGGCGCTTTCCAGCAATACTAATACCCACGACCTCAACTGCATATAGGGTTACGTTAGGAATCAGTCTTGTCATATGGATAGAGGTGTCAAAATAGGTCTTAAACCCATATATGACCCATTTAAAAATAAATGGGTCATATATGGGTCACTTTAATTTTAAAGAGTCAACCTTAAATGGGTTTTAAATTTTAAAGCTTAAAGATAAATGGGTCTAAATGGGTTGAGTTTGGAACCCATGTCCAACCCACCTACTAGACCCATCCACACACTCTCCCCCTCTTTACAAAAATGTTTAAAAAAAATCGAAATTTAATTATTTTTTTTTTCTCTTTTCTTTTTTTTTTTCTTTTCTCTTCTTTCTTTTTCTTTTTTTTTTATTCCGGCCGGTGGTCGGCCACGGCGACCGGCCACCGGGGCGGGACGACCTCGCCGGAGGCCGGCGAAGCTCGAGCTCGCCGGCCTCGGGCGAGGCTCGCCGATCTGGCGAGCCTCGAGCTCGCCCGATCCGGCGACCTCGAGGCTCGAGCCTCGCCGATCCGGCGAGACTCGAGCTCGCCGGCCTCGGTCCGAGCTCGACCTCGCCGGATCCGGCGAGGTGGAGCCTCGCCCGAGGCCGGCGAGACTCGAGCTCGCCGGCCTCGAGCGAACTCGACCTCGCCCGATGCTGGCGAGCTCAAGCTTCGCCGGCCTCGGGCGAGGCTCCACCTCGCCAGATCCGGCGAGGTCGAGCTCGCCTGAGGCCGGCGAGTCCGAGGCCTCGCCAGATCGGCGAGAACGAGCTTCGCCGGCCTCCGACGAGCTCGTCCTCGCCTGTGGTTGGTCGCCGGCCACGGCGGCCGGCGATCGGCCAAAAATAAAGGAAAAAGAAAAAAATAAAAATAAAAAATAATTAAAAATTCGATTTAAAAAATAAAAAAAATATTAATTGTTTTTTATTTTCTTGGATAATGACTTTATGGAAAATATTTTTTAGAAATGTCGCATTTTTCGTAAAACAAACAGAACCTCAATTTTAAAAAAAATTATAAAATTTTTTCACTAGCTTTGTATTGCATAAAAAGTTCTAGCAGTATAATTTTAAAAAAAAATCATGAGAAACAAGTATTCCTAGATTATGTTAAATATAAAAATGTTTTAGCAATATGGGTCGGGTCGGGTATGGGTTGGGTATGGGTCGGGTCGGGTATGGGTCGAGATATTTACACTATGAATAAATGGGTCATAAACGGGTTAATGGGTCAATTTGGGTCGGACCATTTATGACCCGACCCAAACCCGACCCGACCCAAACCCGACCCGACCCACCCGTTTAACAGGTCTACATATGGACTACCACCCCCGGCCGTCTGCGAATTATTGCATCATCCCCAAAATTGAGTAATGTGTAAGTGCCATGTGCGTCAAGTGAAGGCAAGCAATAAGAGATACGCTTTTTAGCCTCATCTGCATACCTCTTCCCCAAGTTCAAGCCAAATATTCCGGCTAATGTATTATTGTCTCTCCTTTCCCAACTTGCAAAATAATTTTCTAG